AGAAAGAAAGAAAGAAAGAAAGAAAGAAAGAAAAAGAAAGAAAGAGAAAGAAAAAGAAAGAAAGGAAGGAAGGAAGAAAGAAAGAAATGGTTTTGTTTTTAGGGAAAAAGCTGTCTAGAATAGCATAAATATGAAACCTAGATATTTGTATAGGAGAGGAAAATAGTCACCAAACTAAAAGATATAATTGAAGAGAGGAGTAAACTAAATGAAGAAGGGAAATCTTTAAAAGGCTGGGGTGTGAAATTAGCACACATTGGGGAATTTTCTCAGACTAAATAATATCTATCTCAGGTTTTTTTTAAAAGATTGATTTATTTATTTTAGAGTGAGAACATGAGGGGGAGAGGGGGAGACAGAGAAGGAGAGAACCCTCAGGCAGACTCCCTGTGGGGTGTGGAGCGGTGCTCAACCCAAGACCCTGAGATCATGACCTGAGCCGAAATCAAGAGCTGGCCTCTTAACCAACTGGGTCAACCAGGCGCCCCTATCTCAGTTTTATATATATGTTAGACATACACATACATACATGTGTATATGTGTTGGTAATAGTCTAAAATGACAATTTTTCCCATTCCTTAGTGAATATTCTGCATGACTAGACATGGCTTTGTAAGCAAGTTCTCCACTTCATCTACCTGTACCATAGAAGTCTTCAATCTGTGTCCCTGTGAAAGAAACATCACTTCTTTCTGGACATGATCTTTTATCACATCCGCAACAAATTAAGCTTCATGTTGCCATGAAATCCTGTTAAGGATTTCTCAGTCCCACAAATATTTTGTTTGTACCCTTCTCCCTTTGGAAATTATCAGGCTAACTCAAACAATGTATGAAAAGCAATGGATGGAATAGGTGGTTTGTTTCCAAAGATGACACAAGTACCACCTCCTCGGGTGTAAATCCCTAGTGACCTGCCATGCCCTTGACCTAAGAGTCTCAAAGCTGGGATTCCTTCCAAGTTGAGGCAGCAAGCTTAGCTAAGGCTTGGAATGGGAGCTGACACAGATCCAAAAGCCCACTGATAAACATAGATATTCTGAAAAGAAAATAAGTGGCTTGTTTTGGGGGGATGTAAAATTATATTTTTTGGATATAAAAATGCATTTTTTCCCTTTTTACTTGAGCTTTGCTTTGTTCTCAAGTTAACCACTTGCCATGGTACACCTCAAGAGATAACAAGAACCCGAGGCACTGAGTCACCCCTATTGTCTGGGGCTGGTCTGAAAGAAGGTTCAGGAACTCTGTAGGGCAAGGTGGGCTGTAGGGGTAGGTCTGCTCATGCTTTGCTTCGGGGGAGGGGGAGGCTGGGGTAAGGACTACAGCTGGAGAGTGAGGAAGTAGTAAAAGCAGGGCAAAGAGGTTCTTCAAGAAACTTTCCTTGTTACCATTTCCCATTCATGGCAACTGGCCTAGATGAAAGCAGGGATGAGTTACCTCTCTTCAGGGCTGACTCCGGGAGCAGAAGGGGCCAAAGACCTAGTCTGTGATGATGGATTACTCAAAGCAAAACACCTTCACCCATGAAATAGCTAGTCTTGGGATTTCATTCTGAGAGTTTCTGCTCTGTCTTTAGAAACCATCCCATAATCAAATCACATTTCTCTAGGTGGAGTCAAGTATTTACCTTGCCCAGTTACTTTGGCTCCATTTTTGATACAAGTTAGAATAAACAGCAGTGAATAAAAATGGACTTCTAAATAAAAATCCTTGACAGTTGATTCTGTCATTTATCAGAATCATTTAGGAAATGAAAGGCAGAAAATATACATTTTAAAATTTATCACTAATTAAAAAGAGCCCTAAAAGTTTTATATACAATGACCAAGAAAAAAATTGCTTAATTATGGAAATACCATACTTATTTGTCTAATAATAACTTGAAAATCACAAGGTCATCATTTTCTCTAAATCCAAATAAGATACAATCTCTTGACTCTGATAAAAGTTCCAAAATTTAATGATGTGTATCAGTGGTTTAACATAATTTTTATGAAATATTTCTGTGTTAATCTTAACCATCCTTAGTTCAGTACCTGCTCTTAAAAACAACATTAAAAACATTTTATATCATGATTAACCCTGGTCATATAAGCTTATTGGGAAAAAAATATTTTGATCATTAAGTACCACACCAGAGGGCTTAATTTAATCCTTACCTGAAAAGATTTGACACTAGTTATGAGTGAATATCCAACGTCTCTAATCAACAGGATTTTTCATTCAATAGAGAGGGCAGTGTTAATGTGATTATAGAATTCTCAATACGGTTTTTACTTAAAAAGTACATAATGAGCATCCTTCACAGTAGTTGGTGTGTAATCCCATTGGATTTGATAAGAAATTTCTTCATGAACACACAGGAAATTAAGCATAAAGAACCTTAAATGTATAAGATAACTGTTAAACAAGTGACATGATGTTACACACATGGGATACAACAATTATAGAAATACATTTTGGAAGAAAAAAACTTAAAAGATATTCTAACCCCAAAGCTTTTAAAGAAAATTTAAGAGAATAGAAATACGTGGCAAATGCGAGGGAGTGTTTTGCTCCCTCTTTAATTGCAGCAGTATTCTAGAAAACAATCCTCTTTGAATTTGGGGAGATAACACTGTTTTCCACGCCTTTGCTCTTTATTTTCTGAGGTACATAAAGTAGTAGAATAGACTTAAATTGACACTATTTTTTGTTTACATATTCTCCCTAAAAAATCAATTATTTTGCTTCATGCTATTTGAAAACTAATTGTACATAACCTAATGGAATTTACTTTTTTTGACTTGTAACTTGTAGAAAGTAGAAAATTGTCTGTTGTAAAATTAATTGGAATTGAAAAACTTCCTAAGTTGTAATGACTAACCAGACTTTTTTTTGAATGCAGTTGATTACTATTATATCAGGCATGAGAAATTGTATTATTGTTATACAGATATTAAAACAATAATAGCCCTCCTCACAACTTGTGTCCATAAGCATGTTTGGGTGTTTGTCATTCTGATATTTCAGGTTTATGTATATTCAGACCACATTTTACAAGCATATTTATCTCTATCTTTAATAAAACAATGCACACTGGGAGTTAAATTCAGTATCACTATGCCTAACACTTTTGCAATTAACTCATCAATGATTTGTAACAGTTATTTGATATCCAGGAAACACTCTAAGCCTTGGTACCTTTAAGTCATTTTCCTCAAAAACTAGGAGTCCTCTTTTGCCAAGATGAATGAATTCGAATATCAAAGTGTCCATGGGTTTGGAGAAATTCAGAAATAATGAAGTTCAAATGGATTCTCTATTTGTTAAAATGATCTCATCCTTACCGGTAACAAAATTGCAGCAACACTAGTGACATTTTACATTAAATCTTTGAAATACGGCAAAACAGAGAGATGTGTATTCTATGTAGAGCATAAAAGAGTTGCAACACATTCTTTCCATAAGAGGTCTCTCATTTGTGTTATTAGCACATAATGAGGCGTGCAGTTGACCCTTTGTTCTGTAAGATTGGCAGGTTTTGGAAAAAACTCTTTCTTGACCACTTGTCCTAGTAAGGTAACCATACTCCATCCAGACCTTTAGAAGGGTTCCAGAATTAACATGTTGAAAGCAATGCATAGAGTCTGCTATTCCATTGCCACAGTTTCTTGTAGGTACTAGTGTTTGTTTTCCTTCCAGGCAATGATCATTCTTAGAAACTGTCTGCTTCCACAAGATTTAGCCTTTAGTTAGTGTAAGTAAAATTGGAGATTTAAAACTTTTAGTTAGAGAAACTCAAGTCATCCAGGTATCTGTAAAGTACACAAGTGCTTTAAAACCAGTCTTCTTTCATACTGCACTGGTCATGTAGGGCAATTGGTTCATAAACCACTATCTCTTTGAATGAGATGACACTGAGTGATGTTCAACATTGATACTCAGCCTCTTCTTTCAGACTTCCAACCAGGTTGACAGGAGTGATGACGATGGTCCCTGTTGTAGATACCTGTGCAGTGAAATACTTAATTTTGCCTTGGCTAATTAGCAGGTGCCAGGTGATATATTTGGAGTAGGGGTTCTCAAATTTTTAGGTGCTTCAGGATAACCTGTAGGATTTGTTAACATACAGAGTCCTGGGTGCCACCCCCAAAGTTTCTGATGCAGCAGATCTGAGATAGGGTGGAAATTTGCATGTCTAATAAGTTCTTAGGTGAGGCTGATATGATGGTTCAGAAACCACATTTTGAGAATCACTGATTTAGAGCAAAGGCATCTTGACTTCTGAGTCTGTTCTTAACAGGCACTCGTACAATGGCTGCCTCTCTGAGCCTCTCTCTTTCTCTCTTTCCTTCTCTCTCCCTCTCTCTTGCACTCCCTCTCTCAATCTCTCTCCTTCTTAAATAATAAAGAACTAGATATATTACAGTCTGTATAATTAGCTTTTATTCTGAGATACTACTTAGGCATTAAGGCATATTATCAATATTACTTGAAGAATCCTCAAACTATTTAAAATCCTAGCTCCCATCACAATCTGAATATTATAACATTCCTTTCATGCGGCATAAATAAGAAAGTTCTCAAATGTACAAAGGGAAGGGAGGAGAGAGTTATAATGCTTTGCTTTTGATGTTATCTTTCTGATAATTAGCAATATCACTTCAATAAACCTTGTCTGGTAGGGTCATTTTTTGCTTTGAGTAGGAAAAAAGCACAAGGTAGCCTCATGTTCTAAAATAGGAAAACAACTTGTGGACAATTTGCTTGTGTCTTCTTTCAGAAAGTGATGGGTTGGAAAATAGCAAGAAATGAATGAGATAGTTTCTATCATCTATAAAAATTTTTCTTAAATATTATTCTCCGTATCTTTTGTTTCAATAAAAATAAGGATACCTGCTGCTGTCATGCAAGGAGAACAACTTTCATGAACATCTCTTATTTTGAATTCAATTTTCAAGTAAATATTTGAGTTAGAAGCATTTTGCAGGGAGACAAGTTTGAAATATTCAGTGCTTTGGATTGCAGCTCTCACATTTGTACAAAGTACGCCAGGTGGCTACTCCTTTGTATGTGAGTTAGGAGCCAGCACTTCCCTCCTAACCACCTGCCAGGCCTACGTGGAATTTGCTGACATCAGCCGTGTCACTGTAATGAATCAGAAACAAAACTTTTTCTGTTCGTGTCCCATGTTGGTTGCTTCACTGCTCCACCCACATTTGAATCTGTCCCCTAGAGTGGTTTGCTGTTCTGTAAACTCTATCGACATGTCTCCCTCAGTCATCTAGAGCTCTTTTGAAGGCACGTGTACATCCACCCCTACCTCGTTCTCCAGCACCTAGCACAGTGGGTGCTTGTATTTGATAAATATTTATGAAATTCAAATAAATGCAAATATTTATATCACATCACCATGGCAGTAGTAACTCTCCCATATGGGACCCAGCTGTGATTTAGTAGTCTACTACTCCTTTTCTTTGTAAATTGCATTCTTAATGTAATCCAGCAAGGCTAACTACATCATTTTTATTGGTTAAAAGAATCCTGCCTTATTCTCAAATGTTGAAGTCTTTTCTTAGAGATGGAGATTGTTATGTATTTGTAGTTACTCCAAGATTGTTATGTTAATACAGTCTTACTGGCCATATGTTGAGATGAGAAATGTGAGCAACGGTAAGGTTACAAACCTGAGAAAATTGTGTTAAATGAATGGAAATTAAAGTTTAATAGTATATATTTTTAAATAGTTTTGAAAGATAGCTTTTGAGTTATCTAATATAATATGCTATTTTGTATATAAATATTCTTTCAGATGTCACATCATGACAGTCTTTTGTGATTTTTTTTAAAACTATGAGGTTAACTAACATGTCTGTTGTTAATTGAGTTAGTAATTGCTACTTCTTTTAGTAGACAAAAGAAAGTCATTGGATAACTCTTGGTAATTTTTTTGCAACCAATCTGAAGGTGAGAGAGTAAAATAACAATTAGAATTAAAAATATTCAAACATTTAATTGACACAAATCATAATACATGAAGCTAAAGGTGAAGTAGCCTAAAATAAATTCAGTTGAAAGTCAAACTTCTAAAATTTTGTTTAAATCAAAAGTTGAGAAATTATTTTAAACTGACTTTTTTTATTTCCAAAGAGCAATAGAGTAAAAAGAAAGAAAGAAAGAAAGAAAGAAAGAAAGAAGAAAGAAAGAAAGAAAGAAAGAAAGAAAGAAAGAAAGAAAGCCCACAAAGTAATTTTAGCTTCAGATCATTAGGATAATAAAGTTTGTGTGTACAGAGATTTTTAAAAAAGAATAGTTTTACTCAGATATCCCTGTCATATGAATGAAATTTCTACCAGCTTTGAAGTGGCCCTGCTCCATTGGCTGCTGGGAGTGTGCTTATGCTGGTGAGCACAACTTGCTCTGAGAGTTTTGATATGTTGTCAAAGTTGCTGATCTGGGTGGTCAGAGACTTCCGGCTCTCTGTGCTCGTTCGGCCCCGGGTAAGCCGGTCCTCCTGGCGATGGTGAACTCCAAGGCAACAGCAAGAAAATGCAGCTTTAAATTCCTCTCGAAACTTTCCTGGCAAACCAGGGAGAATGAAAGGAGAAAGAATTACACATAAATAGGGTTCAACAAATCATTTATAGGGTATAACCCAGTTGCTCCCTTGAGCCAAACTAACAATGAGTTAGTTTGAAACATTTTGCAAAAAGGAGGAAATAGGAAGAGGAAATTGTGTTACTGGAAGCTTGGTAGACTCTTGAAACAATAAGGTATTTCCATAAAATAATGTAACTGCTTTTCATGTGTGATGTTTGGAATTTGTTTCATTCCTTTAGAGTCAAACCTTCTATATTTGTGATTGTGGGTTTTTATAGACAGCTGTAATGATAATGATCATTAGTAGGCTGTCCAGAGATATTTAATAATTTCAAAAATGATGAAGCCTGTATTGTATATAGCCATGACTGTACAAAAATTATCCCTGCACTGGACTCTGAAGAAACTGGTCTACTGGCATGCTCAGTTCAACAGAGTATCTAGAAAAAACATCTTAAAATATATAGAAAATTTCTAAAGTTTCATAATCTGCATGAGGCAGAACAAAAAATGGAAGGAAAAATTACCCACTTTAGAAGTTATTACTTGCTCTTAAATCACTGACGTGAAATTGGAGAAGTATGAAAAATGAAACAGTCACCTTTTTAAGGATAAATGAACAGGATTGGGAATCATCATTTCTCTTCTCTGAGCCTCCATTACCAAAGTGGGTGATTGAGTGATTACATGAGAAGCGAATGTTCAAGGGCCTCTGACAATCGCTGGCACATCCCAAGTCTCCACAGGTTATCAACCACCTTCCCTGCCTCACTCCACCCCACAATAGCACTTTGACTTGGTCCTGTGGCCTTGACTTCAAACACTTCTCCCTATAACCTTCTAGGAGGTTTGATCTGCTTAGTGCAAGCCTGAGGGCTTTAGTCATCTCTAACCCCAAGGCAATGGCTTCCTCATTGCTTTCCAAGCCACAGCTCCATATGGTCCCTTGACCCCTCAAACACATCACATGAGCAGTGAGTGGTATCCGGTGATCTCCAATCTAATGCCATCTTTAACCTGGAGACAGGGGTTGGATGTGGTGGGGGAAGGCAAGAAAACCCCACATATACACCACCTGAAAGGTGAAATAAAGCAGGTATATATATATATATACACCTGCTTTTATATATATATATATATATATATATATATATATATATATATATGGTATATACCATGATTGAGAAAAAAAACAATGGAAGTTGACTGGTCATTTGTCTTTTTTTCTTTTTTTTAAATAACCCATACAACCTACAAGGCCAAAGATGAAGTTGGAAAATACACATACTTTATTAAGTATGCAATAAAATGAACAGCTTATTCTTCCATATAAAATTATCATATATTTGGAGATAGCAATGAAACAGAAATAGCCAACCGGTTAGAGAAGAAGACAGTGTAAAGATGCAGCTAATTAAAACACAATTCTAAAGGTCAATCAGGCAAAATGTTTGTAAATAAAACAACTAGTTAAATGATTTTTACATTTACATTGGTTCCATAAACCGAGAAAGATTAAATCTGTTACAGATGTGCGTCTTTGTGTGTCATTTAGCTTGTGCGATATTTAGAAGTAGTATCATTTTTTGTGGTCAGTGAGAAATCTTGAGATAACCCTAAGAGATGTTACTCACAAGAGAAATGTAAATACAGAAAAATACCCAAAAGTGGTTTCCAATTCAGTCTCAATGAGGCAATCTCAGTGTTGGCAAAGGAAATAATACAGCAAGTCTGTTTTATTTTCAGATAAAATTATTTTACATGTTGGTAAATCATAAGTTTAATGTATGACAAGCAGGATTCTGTGTTCTTCAGTTCTCACAATTTTCACTTTCCTCCTACTCAACATTTCTTTTTAAATTTTATGGGAAAATGACTTAGATGGTTTTCTCTGATGAGTTAGGTACCATGTGATCCCTCTCATCAGGGCAAAACCTCAAGACGAATTAGATCCAGGGGAAAAAAATCTCATCATATAGCAGTTAAGCTCTTTGCACATTTCAAGAGTGTTCAAAACCTTGTGGTCACTGATCCCTCACCCCTGGCAAGGATTGGGGTTTACATGGAAGGAACAGTTGAAAACTCACCACTGAGAAAATTATAAATAATTGGGTTCGCAGCACTATTGGCATATACAAGCCAGTGTGAAAATGTAAACCAGGCATATACAGTCTCTCTGTCTTCTGTGTGGGTAAACATCCCAAATACTCTGTAGGAAAAACAAAACAAAACAAGAAACAATCACGGGAAATCCAATGTGATTTTGAAAAGTACCCTTCAAATAATGAAATTCATAGGTGAACACAGCCCTTGATGGAAGCTCCCTAACTAACCCCTGTCCTCCCCTGCAGCAGGCACTGGCTTATGGCACCACATTGGGTTTAGGAAAATGTCAGTACCTGAACAAAAGTTCCATGGCACGATTAGGAAATCAAAGGCCAAATCAAGCCAGAGAATGGTCTTTCTCTCCTGTGAACAACAAGTACAATCCTATTTCTGGTGAGAAGAGTGCAGAAGTCGAATATATAGCTATGTCCTTTTCTCATTTTGTTTCTAAATACAACTGAACAAGTTTGTTACTATTCCATTTTGTGTGTTACTTAAAAAGAACTCCTAAACTGCAGTCTTTGAGTCCTTCTTCCTACCTACCTTTGTGCATTGATCGAAGTATCATATTTTTTCAACTACACTCTTCCCAGCCTTGTTGAAATTTGCCTTCTGGGACTTCATTACAGTTAGAGAGACTAGTTTTCAGTAGGCAAAATTCTGGTCACTTCTTAAGATTCATGAGTTTTAGTATTTTTATTTATGATGTTAAACTCTGAAAAATATTTCATTATTTTATCCTTAAACATCATTTTTAAGATTTGTTCCATACTCAGAAATATCCCATCTATCAAATTCAATCTGCTAGCCAATAGCAGGTAGCTTGTAACTAACTACCCAATAAATTTTATAGGTTGAAGATGATAATGCATTTCCTGCCAGAGGCTCCATCATTGACTGTGTAATTTGATTACACACGATGGTGCCCACAATAGAAATGCATTTCTGCAATAAAGTGACGCTCTGTGGAGTACTGGAGTTTTATAAAAATACGATATGGAGTAAAATAACATGGACAAATGGAATTAATGGTATGTTCTGACCCTCTAGCATAATATATCTTTGAAATCCTAGACAAACCAGAACTGCTTTAAAGAAGCTGGGTTTAACTAGTCAGGCAAAAAATTGCTTCAAGGAAAAGGGTTTAGGAATGTATTGGTAAGAGAAAGAAAATACAAGCATAACCTATAAGGGCAAACAAAGAGATAAGCATTTGAAGAAAAGGAGTGTTTTTCTCAAGTTTTGTGGAAAAGAGCAGAATGCTCAAAAAATTGAGAATATTTTAACATAGACTTTCTTCTTGCCGTTTATTTTCCTTGCAAAGGGAGGTCTTTAAGTTAGAAAAAGAAGAGAAATATTATGGACAAGTAGATATTTGGAAATAGCTAAAGGACCAGTCCAAGTGCCGAGATGCAGGGAATCCCAATGAGCAGTCTTTCATTGCATTTAGACAAAGTACCATAAAAGTACAAAAAGTTAAAAAAAATGAGAGAAAATCATTCAGTATCATAGCATGTTTATAAGGTTCTTAAGAGTAGAAAACAGCATCTAGCCAAAGATCGAATAAATTTGTATGGGATGGGCGCCTGGGTGGCTCAGATGGTTAAGCGTCTGCCTTCGGCTCAGGTCATGATCCCAGGGTCCTGGGATCGAGTCCCGCATCGGGCTCCTTGCTCCTTGGGAGCCTGCTTCTCCTTCTGCCTCTCTCTCTCTCTCTCTGTCTCTCATGAATAAATAAAGAAAATATTTAAAAAAAAAAAAAAATTTGTATGGGATTTCTTCTGTCAAGGGAAATAAGACCGAAATCATGAAGAGCTATGGAGGGCAAAGTAGCTTTCAGTTTCTTGTGAGCCAGGATGTATCTCAAGGCCCCACGCTGCTGAATATCTCATTCTTTAAAGGCTGTGTCTGTACTAAATAATATTACTAAACAAAAGTTCATTTTCCGTTGGGAGAGTTATTAAGCAATCAAAAACAAGGGCCAAGAAGAATGAGGAATCTTTGCAGCCGGTTTTACCACCTTTTGCGTGTGTGACTCCAGCCAAAGCTGCCGCTCTCCAGAGTCTCCAGCTGTGAGGAATATGATACTGACTCTGAATCAGGGAAAAGTGAGAGGAGCAATCCTAGTTTAAGTTCGAAGCCTATTACAAACAAAATTACTATTACCTTGGGGCCAGTCTGTTTGCAACAGTTATGATAATGCCCAATAAAGTTGGCTGACTGTGAAGTTCATGTGTACCACAGCCCCTGCATTGGCTGTTCTTGTTGGTCCATTGTTTTTAACTTAACAGTGTATCTGCAGCCTAAAAAATAACACACTTTCTCTCACTGAAAAGTTTCGTGCTAATTTTTATTAATAGTCACCCTGAGCTCTTGATTCAGTGACTTGAGGAAACGGCTTTTTTTTCTGTTTAAACATTCAAAACACAGTATGAGCCCTGATTCCATTTTTGTGTGTGTGCTCACAAATGCACTTTTAAGTATAATTAGAATGCTAACAAAACATCCCTCTTTTTATCCTTTAGATAGAATTCTGTCATAATTCCCTATGTATGAGAACAAAGTTTGTAAAACCCAATTTGTTCTGATCAAAAAAGAACTCCAAGTTGTAAATGAGGTTTTTTTGTTTGGTTTTGGTTTTGGTTTTGGTTTTTGGTTTTTGGTTTGTTTTGTTTTTTATTTTGTTTTTTGTTGTTGTTTCTTTTCTCTTCTTTTTGCATTAGAACTTTTTCTGCATCTAAGGCTCAGCAATTAGCTTGAAGGGGTCAGGGGAACATCTGTTTTATGTCTGCCATTCAACAGAGAACTTCCATGGACAAGGCATGTAGAGTCTGAGCACTCTAAAAGGCTGTCCAACTTACCTGTTAGGAACAACAACACACTGAGTTATTTGGCCTGACACTATCTAGGCAAAGGGCTTAGATTTTTCTCTGGCTTAAGAAGAAAAAAAAACTTCTTCACTAAGAATTAAGAAATAACAGTCACTTTGTTTTCAAATAATAGAAGAACTTTACCTCTTGAGCACGTTGAGGATGCTAATTGGTAGATAGCAAATTGCAAACACCAAAAGCACAACCATTAGCATCCGGGCTGTTTTCCGTCTGGCTCGGATCTGCTTTATTTCAGCGGCCACAGCACTAATCCTGGACTTGGTCTGCTGTCCTGGCCCTCGAGGCTGTGAAGCAGGCTGCAGGGGCTTCCATTTTCTCTGAACTACAGATGATGTTCCAGGTATCTAAAAGGAGCAGAGACTATTTATTGCCACCTGACTCAGGGAAGTTCCACTTCCCTGTGGAGAAGTAACCAGAAGATACAGGAAGGAGAGTGTTTTGGATGCCTGTATCCAGAGGTACAGGCTTAAGAGCCTGTTCCCCCAGAGTGTTTGCTGAGTTGAATATGTTCTTGAGTAATACAGTTGAGTATCAGATAGGAGTTTGGGTGGAAAACAAGTTGAAACATCCCATTTTTGTCAAGGTCTAAAGAGAGCTACAAATGAGAAAGATACCTCTTTATAAACAGAGAAGTTGTATATCCAGACAATGGAATATTATTCAGTGCCAAAGAGAAATGAGATATGAAGCCATGAAAAATGATAGGAAACTTAAATGCATATTACTAAGTAAAAGAAGCCAATTTGAAAAGGCTACATACCATAAAGTCTACAACTACATGACATCTTAGAAAAGGTAAAATCAGAGAGACAGTAGAAAGGCAGTGGTTGCCTGGGAGTGGTGGGGGGTGTGTTGGGGGGCTAGTGGGCAGAGCACAGAGGATTCTTGGGGCAATGAAAATACTCTGTATGGTACTGTAATGATGGATACATATCATTATACATTATATGATGAATTTTGGATATGTTCTCCAAATCCACGAATGTACAACATTAAGGGTGAACCGTTAGGTAAACTATGGACTTTGGATGATTCCATGTCAGTGTAGGTTCATCAGTTGTAACAAATGTATCACTTTGGTGAGGGATATGGATAATGGGGAGGCACTTCATAAGTGGAGGTAGGGGGCATTTGGGAAACCTCTGTATCTTCCATTCAATCTTGCTGTGAACTTAAAACTGCTCTTAAAAATAAAACAAAACAAGCAAACTAACAACCAAAGCCAATTCTTAATTAAAAGGAGAGAGAAATAAAAACTGGCAAAGAAGAGATGTAAAAGGACAACCATATTATCTGATTAGGAATTCTTGTTCAGCTCAGATACCTCAGTATAAAGAGAGGGGAAAGGTAACAGGTAATGCAAAAGTAACTCGAAAGCATTTTTTTCATGCATCAATACTGCCATCTGCTGCCAGAGGGACAGATAGGACTTAACTACCTAGTGCTTTTTATTAGATTTTGTTTCTCAGGTTTAGCCAAGGGAAACTGAGTGAAGGGGCACCTGGGTGGCTCAATCGGTTAAGTGTCTGCCTTCGGCTCAGTTCACGATCCCAGAGTCCTGGGATGGAGCCCCGCATCAGGCTCCCTGCTCAGTGGGAAGCCTGCTTCTCCCTCTCCCACTGCCCCTGCTTGTGTTCCCCCTCTCTCTGTCTCTCTCTCTCTGTCAAATAAATAAAAATCTTAAAAAAAAAAAAGAGAAAAAGAAATCTTGAGTGAAGAGAATAAAAAAATAAATAAAATATTCTCTGTTGCTTACTATATACTGTTATGAAATTACTTGAAACCCATTTTGTGATCCAGTCTGGCCCTTAAAAATGCATACAAACAGGGGCGCCCAGTGTGGCTCCATGAGTTAAGCCTCTGCCTTCTGCTCAGGTCCTGATCTCTGAGTCCTGGGATCAAGCCCACCTCCCGCCACCAGGCTCCCCACTTAGTGGTGAGTCTGCTTCTCCCTCTCCCTCTGCCCGTCTCCCCACTCGTGCTCACATTCTCTTACTCTTTCTCTCTCTCAAATAAATAAATAAAATCTTTAAAACAAAAAATAAAATGCATACAAACAGTGAGAATCCCTTGTGGTATTACATTAACATTTCAAATAGCTGGAATTTGTAACAACAGTTATACAACTTGTACTTTTCCATTTCTTTTCAAAGTTATTTGATAATAGCAGGGAGCCCTTCCAAGTGTAATATTTTCTTAAATATAAGCTCATGAAGATTGATAGAGTTTAGTGAGCAAAACAGTAAAATTCAGCACGCATAATTTTTTAAGAGGAAAATGTGCCAACAAGCACACCATAGCCGTTTGTTGGTTCTAAGTAAGACTCCATGGTCTTCTATGTTCTGTTAAGATTATTCAATTGTTTTTATCTCTGTGCTGCTAGCCAGGACAGACCCATGTGTTCCTGTGCTCTCTCAGAATGCACGTTGGACGGACGCTGTGCTTTATACATCACAAGACCCAGGTGTGTTTAAGATAATCTTTGTAAGAAGAGTTTTACTTTGATTTCCACACAAATTAATATGGAGCTCCTTTTAGCCATAACTATTCTCTTTCAAAAAGAAACAAATGAAGTTAATGAAAACCTGCCCTTACATAGACAAACGTTTGATAAACTGTCTTCTGGCTCTCTCTGTTTTGTTTTTTTTTTTTAATATTTTATTTATTCACTTGAGACACAGAGATAGAGAGAGGGAGAGAGAGACCATGAGCAGGGAGAGAGGCAGAGGGAGAGGGAGAAGCAGGCTCCCCACTGAGCCAGGAGCCCGATGTGGTGCTCGATTCCAGGACCCTGGGATCATGACCTGAGCCGAAGACAGATGCTTAACCATCTGAGCCACCCAGGCGCCCCTCTCTATGTTCTTTTATGTAGCCTGAACTTTTCACATAAGTGGTGGTCCTATAAATTTTCTTATATATATTACTGATTGGGGGTGGGGAGGACACTGAGGATCCTTCCTCCTCTGTGAGTCTCTTTTTAAATAGTCATTTATAAAATAACTGAGGAGAAACCACAATGGATGTTGGAAAGTTCCAGAAAAACTGTAGCATGAGTAACCCTATAAATGTCTGCTACATGATCTTGAGCTGTTTTCTAAATGATCTCTCAGAGATCATTTAAACTTTAGAAATTCTATTATTGACATTGAGAAAGGTTAAATAAAATATCCATGTCTATATCTAACAAGTCAGAATTGGCACTAAGGTCTGTCTAACTGCAAAGCTCATCTTTTCCCATTCTGATATAAGGTTTCCATTTATAAACTTCAACACAATGTGTTATGGAAGACAGTAAATTTTTAAATATGTGCCTAGTTAGATGAAATAATAATCATACAAAAGGGCATTGAGAAATCCAGCCTGGGAGGCTGTCCATGTAGGAAGGTCTTCCCCTGCCATCTCAGGAAGGGCTCAACAATCCAGCTGTGTAAAGCATGTGTGTGCATATGCGTACACACACACACACACACACACACACAGTCCACTTTTATTCCACTATTGTAAATAAACTTTAAAATCATCTTTGATATGAAAATACATCTTGGAAGAGTTATTACCACAATTATGAATTGGAAATATCATGTAAATGATGGACCTTGAAACCTGCCCTTTCTTAAGCCATATTTGTGACTAGGATTAATTTATAAGAAAAAGGAAACATGCTGCATACATTAAAAAAGAATACAGGATATTATGAATAATGAATAAATTTGCAAACTTAAGTGAGATGGATAAATAACCTTGAAAAACAAAGATTACCAAAATTGGCACCATGATTCCAAACAAAAACTCCAGGTCCAGATAGGTTCATTAATGAATTCAATCAAATGGTAAAAAATAAATAATATAGATCTTATGTAGACTCTTTCTGAAATTCAAAGAAACAATAATACTTTCCAAATAATTTTATAATACTACAGATACCCTAATAATCAAAGACATGGCAACAAAAGAGAACAATTGGCTAAATATCTCTCATGAATAGAGATGAATAATTCCTTAAAATATGTTATCAAATCATACTTAGCAATATACAAAAAGGATAATAAAATTCACTAAACAAATCAATTAGATTTATTCCAGCAACGCAGTGTTGATTTAACATTCAAAAGTTAATCAATGCAATTTATATTAACAGAATAAGAGACAAAAATATGACCATCTCAATAAATAAAGGAAACGCATTTGAAAAATTCAACACTTTTTCATGATAAAAATTTCAGTAAATTAGTAAACTAGTAAGATGAGGAAACTTTATCCACCTGGTAAAAGGCATCTATAAAAAAGCCTTCAGCTATCATCCTACCTAATGGGAAAATATGAACACTTTCCTTTAAGACTGAGAATAAAACAATGAAGTCTTTTCTCAGTGCTTCTACTCAACATTATACTGTATGTCTTAGCTGGTAAAAGAAAACAAGAAAAATAGATAAAAGGTGTATAGATTGATTTTATTGAGGAGCCATATTGCTTACAAAGTAAATCCTAAGGAATTTCCAAAACTCTACTAGAACTAATACCTGAATTTAACAATATGCAGGACCCCAAATCAATAAACAATCCCTTGTATTTCTGTGATAAAATGATTTACAACATACATTTCATGGTTCAGATGACCAAAATATATTTCCCAGATATATTTGGTCTTCATCTACAGTTCCTGAAAATGCTTCAGAGCCGTAAAAGGTGAAATGGGTGTCTTATTAATGAAGGTAACTTAAGGTCAGGAACTAGTTGCCAGGAGGACCAACTATTAAAAGATGGTAAATTTCAGTCCCACCCCCTGACCTCTGGGAAGGAGAAAGGAGCTGGAGCTGAATCAACCAATGGCCAATGACTTAGTCAATCATGATGACATAATGAAGCCTCTATAAAAACCCAAAAGGACAATGGGTTTCAGAGAGTCTCCAAGTTGGTGAACATATGGGTAAATGGCATACCAGGAGAGGACATGGAAGCTCCTTGCCCTGTGTATCTCTTTAACTGGCTGTTAATTCATAACCTTTAATATATCCTTTAATAAATTCATATCATCGGATTTGGGGATTTACAGTAAAGTCATATACATATACAAAAACCACATACATATACATATGTATATGTATGTATATGGGATTATGTATATATCAGAAAAAAGAAGAGGACCAGTCTGATAAATACAATTTGGGAAATCACCTCATTAAAAAAACACTTGGAAAATATATCACCAAAAAAAATTCTGTGCAGTTATGAAGGAACCTAGTAAAAAGTCACTTAACAGCCAGGGAAGGGATTATAAATATTCAAAGTGAAGAGAAGCAGAAAGACAATTAGGAGGGCTATAGTATTATGTAAACAGTGAAAC